TACAAGGAGGAGGGAGAAAAAAATTTCTTCTTAACTTCTGAGGATAGGACAAGAAGCAATGGGCTTAAATTGCAGCAAGGGAGGTTTAGGTTGGACATTAGGAAAAAAATCTTAACTGTCAGAGTGATTAAGCACTGGAAGAATTGACTAGGGAGGTTGTGGAATCTCCATCACCGGAGATTCTTAAGAGCAAGTTAGACCAACACCTGTTGGGAATGGTCTAGATAATACCTAGTCCTGCCATGAGTGCAAAAGCTTGGACTAGATGACTTCTTGAGGTCCCTTCCAGTCCTATGAGTCTAAGATACAAGTTCTAATTATTTAAATGTTGATGGTTTTGCAAAATAACAGTGACTGTTCCATACTGAACCACATTTATGAACCACATTCTCTAATGTTTCATCACCCAGTAAGTCCAGGGCCTGAACTCATATACAGAGCAAAGCAAGAGGTTCTTACATTCACAGATAGGGTATGTTGATCCATTGAACTGATACATCAGTACTAAATGCCTCCAATGCGTAATCTAATAGTAATATTAGGGTTCACATTTTCAATTTGGGAGATATATTTGTCTTTTGCTGTGTGCTGAATTTCATAGCTTAGCAGATCTCCCCATCTGTCCATAAATGGGGGCTGCTCAATGTCCACAGCAATGGCTCCTTTTTACCATGGGGGTGGGGAGAAGTCTATCCAGCTCCAGCCCCCAACAGCACAAAGTGAGAGAATCTCCCTGAAAGAATACTCAGAGATTTTCCCTCCAAAAGCCCCTCCCTGTGTGTTTTAACATGAGAGGGATGGCTTGGCTTCTGGTCAGGGTGCAAAGCACTTACAGAAAAGACAAAAATTCTGTGCCTAGCTCCATCTGTGGCTACAGGCTATTGAGAGTGCATAAGAATTACACAAGTTGATTTACTTTATGAAAAATGATTAGTAAAACCCCTGTGGATTTCTTAACTGTACTGTGGCGGGATATAAGATTAGTGTAGCAATTCCCATCATCAAATGTATTTACTGTTAAAATATTGGATTAGTGATGTTGTTATCCACTGTTCCAAGATTAAAAAGTGATTCTTTAAAACTGTGAAGAAAAATACTACGCTCCATCACGTGTAATTAGGCTTGCAGTGTGAGTGTGGGTTTTTTTCCCCTTCCTATTAAAAAATTCTGCTCACTAAAAAAAAAAGAAACGCAGTTCCCTTATTTTGCTTTGTAAAGAGAAAGGGTCATACTTACTCGATAAAATTATCCCTATGTATTTCATTGCACCTGCCAGTCAGGCTCCTCAGCAACATCAGGTCATCATAAATAACCAACATCCCATACCTTGCACTACCTGGTCTATAAAACACACAGTGATGTACATGCCAGCTGGGAGTAATTATAAGTGAGATTTTAATCACTGGACATTTAACCTTCCTGAAGAAAGGTCTTTTTTTTTCTAGTGTTTTGTGAGAAGAGGGTGTTGTTGACCTCCAGTGTCATCATCTTCTGGGTTTTGGTTGAGTATATAGGCTGAGGGATACGGGGTGGTCAGTTAAGAGTGGTTATTTGCTATATTTGTTAGTCTGGATTTTGACCAAACAAATCTTTGTTGTTTGCCTTTGCTTATGTTTAAAGGTATAAAGTGCCTAGAGTTGTTAGGCTAGGTGCTTAAAAAGAAATACATAAAAAAGATTCAACTGCCATTCATTTCCCTCCTCTCATGTAATGCTGCCAACCATCTCTGAAATTCCTTGGGTACTTTACATACAGAGTGCAGACAGTGCAAAGAGTGTGAACAGAGGAAAGTTTAATAATGCACACAAAAAATCTGAAATTGACACAATGGTATTTACACCCTACTTGCCTTAGTGGCAAAAGCTGGCAGGTGCCCACTGCCGCAGAATTTATCTAGCCAACTCCAGGCATTGTTCCCATTACTTATCCTATTAAACTGGATCTCAGCCCTTAGCATTCTTCTTTCTTGCTCTAGGTTAATTCTCCCTCCCCCTTGACCTCTTAATCCACGATGCTGACATAAAACACTATAAATGAGAGTACCCAATGCTAGAGCTTGGTTTGACTTTAAATTGCCCTATGTCTACCTGACCCTCAGAAATCTAGGCTATTTGCATGTATTCTTAACTGCAGCTGACGCAGTTTTGAATAACCTTGACACAGTTTATCAGCCAAATGTTTAATCAGGCAGTGCAGCAAGAAAACGTAACCACAACAATACAAGGTATTTAACATTTCAATACAGTGTATAAACTGATGAGAAGCTCATCTTAGCAGTCACTATCATGTACCCTTTTCCTGGTGCTCTCTTCCTCTGCAAAAATCTTGTCTAAAATTTACCGGAGAACTATATATAATCGTTCCCTGATGTTGTCATATGTTTTATGTTCCACACAGGAAAGTTCAATTTCAAATCACTGGGTTCATAGTGAGAGCAACAGAGAACTGTTTGAATTAATTAGGGGTCATAGTGGAGGTAAAGGATTTTGACTGTGTGTTCGGAACCACAAATCCATGGCTTTGACGGGACTCCTTTTCCACCCATGCAATGAAGTGTCACTGAGAAAGCTTTGCTGGGATTCAGTTTTCCTGGAAGAGGACAACTGAATTTCAAACTGTCTGGCTTATGGGTCTATTTATAACTGCTATAATTGGCTGGAATTTTTGGGGGGAGGACCAAAACCACAATGGAACTGAAAACAAAGAAACACCCCCACAAGAACACTTACCTTGTCTTACTCTCTATATGCAAAACTGTCCAAACACCAATATCTGCCTGTGTCTCCACTTCCTGTCATCGGGACACAGATGTGGTAGTTTTTGCTTCAGTGATTGTGCATGTGACCAGATTGGCCTCTGAACACTGAAGATGTGCTACAGGCTGCAGGGTTTATTTCCTTTTGTTGATAAAATGCAACCTGCTATTAAGTGGCTGACTTTGAATTCTCAATAAATAATACAAATAACTTAGTGAATTTTTCTATCAATTCCAAGAGAACTGTTGAGTATCCCTTTTAGAAAAGAGGCACTCATTCAGCCCCATCTAAATATCATATTCCTATAAATAGCAGTTGCTTCTTCCTATGGTGCTTCCCACTAGATTTTAAGCATACTCTGCTTGCTTTTAGAGTTGGGAACCAATTTGCTTTATGGGCACCATTTGTACCATTTGCCCGTTGCTCATAAAACAGACAAAGCCTTTATCAGTACCATGAATTTTCACTCACTTTATACAAAATGTCTAAGGAGGGATTTGCAGTAGCCTGAATTACATCCATGAAAGAATTAACAACTAATTTAATTTTCTGCTACGATAATGGCCTCAGTGTTTTACATTTTGTTGATCACATTTCTTCCATCCCAACAAAAAACTCATAAAAATTGTATCTGGTTTAAATTTTTTTTCTAAATAACTAAGTAAGATGAGTGTCCAAAACATTACATTTTTAAAGCTATTCAGTCACACAAGCAAATATGAAGTAAAGTAAGGATTTGTTCCTAATCTGAGATAGATGGATATGGAATGGCAAACATAATACATTGAAAAATCCCATGCAGCATGAGTGAATGCAACATATTGGCTGGTGTGTGTATACAACTGTCCCTAATAAAGGTCATCTTTATTGTTCGTAACTATTCCTTTAGCTTAAGGCCTAAAGTCCTGTGCTTTGGAAGCTAATGATTCAAGGCTTTTACTTTCATTTCACATGCACATTTTACCTAGCAACAGGGATATCTGTATATATGCAAGCACAGTTCAAGAGCATATCATTCAAAATCAGCAGTAATTCAATCCCATGTCCATCAGACCTCAATCAAGTCTTCAGATAATGAGATGCTGATTTTCAAGGAGCAAGCCCTGAGGTGCATGAACAGTCAGCATCATGCCTCATGTAAACATTCACTTACTGCAAAAGTTCACACAAACTATTTTGAGAGAACACAAGTGGATGTTCAGTTCCAATTGTGAGTTCCCATGTTGGATTTTCTGCATACACTTGCAACAAATATGATTGTAAAATGTCATGGGCTCCAATACATAATTCGTTTTTAAAATCAGGCCCTAAGTGAAGGCAGAGCTGCTTGAGAGGAATGCTCACAGTGTAAAACGTCTGGCAGAACTCTAACTATAGGCAGAAATTACCAAGTGTACAAGAGCACTGTAATTACAGTGGGTCAGTCCTCTTCCGACACCCCCATCCAATATTTATACATAAATGAAGGCAGGGCTGATATGTAAGAGACAAATAAAGGAAATGGCTCTAAATTCCTAAATTTAGCATAATACACAAATTAGTAATAAGTGATTTGCCAAAGTAAATACTCCAAAATAGGATCCTATTAAAGCATTGTGTGTTCCTGAAGGTAAATGTTGCATATCAATATTCTCATTCATCCACCTCCCTGTCTTCTGATTTGAATAAGCATCACATCTTTTCTGGTGGGTCAAACTGTTGGACCTTAAGATTTAATATGTCAAATTTATGAGCCTTCGCTTTAAGCTGTCATTCTGTAGGCTTAAATAGAATTCTATCCCAGAAGTTAATGAGCTGTTCATAATTTCCTAAGACACCATTTGGATACTGATTTAATTTTAAATTTCTATTTTGTCACTGGTTTATTTCAACCCCCATTATAATGATGTGTGTCAGGAAAAAGGTCCATGAATGACGTGAGCTGACATCCTTATATTTTTTTTTGAGGGTATGAAACATGCGGTGGGGGTGGGGGGAGGGAGGAGAGGGGTTGAGAAAAAGGAAGCAGATCTTAAGAGGGCTAAGCCAAATAACATAGCACTTACAGCCACATTAACCATGGGACTCTCATAGAAGAACCTAAAGCAAATGCCACATGATGCTACCTACCACAGAGCTACCCATTACAGTGCTTCTTTGGAGACTCAATTTGATACTGTTAAGACTCACAGAAATGAACACTACTATGCTACTGGGGAGCAGAGGCAAACACAGAAACTTATCAATAATGTGGTTCCTACCTACCTGGGGCTGAGTCCATGATTCCAGGCTTGTCTCTTTCAAAGGGCTCTGGGGTCTTCCCTTCTCTTTTGTGTGCTTTTGAAGGGAGAAAAAAAATGTGTCAGGTTATCTGCTCAGCCAACATTCATATGAACACTCATTTTCTATTGTAAGGTACAAATTACAAGACATGCATAAAATTCAGACAATGATCGTCAACCAGAAATGCCTACATTTCCAGAGGTCACTGGGATAGGTCTCAGAGTAGCAGCCGTGCTCAAATAAATTTGTTAGTCTCTAAGGTGCCACAAGTACTCCTTTTCTTTTTGGGATAGGTCCTTTTTTTTGGACTCAGTACATAACCCAGTTTTAATGTAGCAGTAATGTAGTGAGGAATCCCAACAAGATTGAATCTCATGCTTTGTTGAATTGAACAGCAGCACTTTTTCAGTCTTTCTTGAAAGCTCTTTTATAACATTAGATATAAAAGTAATAGATAGCTCTGATACAGCAATTTTCATCTAAACATCTCAAAGCGTTTACAGATGGGGAAACTGAGGCACAGAGAAGAGATGTGACCTTCCCATCACCACACCACAAGCCAGTGGAAGAATCTGGAATAGAAACCAGACTCCTGATTTCAAGTTCAGTGTCCTGTCCAGTAGACCACATTGCCACGCCTCATTTATTTTGGCAAGCGAGGACATACCATGAATATAACATCTGTTACCCACAAAGCAACTGCAATTAATTTAAGTGTGGCCTATCAAAAACAAAACAAAAATCAAACAGAAAGCCCCTCCAAAACACCTACTTTTTAAACACTGTGTTATTGAGGTTTCTTTCATGCTTTTGGCTGATAGCCTTTCCCTTTCCTTAAAGCTCTTTATAATAGGAGCTTAGAAGGATGTGCTGTTTAATAGCTCATTGACCCTTAAACTCTGAGAATTCTAAAGAAGTGGCAAGACTGACCCCAAATCAAAAGTCTTTACAATCAGACGACTTAAAGGAGCCCTTGAAGAATTATATTTGCTGACTCTTCATATTCCCAAGTAAATTACTGACATTTCCAAATCACCCTGCCAACTTGTCAATGTGTATAATTGCTCAGCTCTGCTCATAAATGTTTTGGATTTTATGAGTATAGGGATTGAGTGCAATTTCAACTACCAGAGAGTCATTGTTAAAGTCTTGTGTGAGTATATTATGCCTACCCACACATATAACAGGTCTGAAGATAAACAGCAAACATCACACTTTTCATAACACTAAAGTGGTCACTACCTATTTTTGGCAGTGTCTTGCTATATACTGCAGAATAATAGATTTGGTAAATAGTAAGACATCATCTGATATCCTGAAGGGCATTGACTAAGATTTTTCAATAAAACTAGAAGAACTAAACTGAATGTTGGCTGGAAGCATTAAATAAATTTTCCTAGATAAATGGTCAAATAAATATATCTATCCTCACACAGAGACTGATATACAATAATAATTGATAAAAGTATCCCAGGAGTATGCTATTACAACATTCAGACTAATACAGACTTCATTAACAGTAGTTCTATCAATGGAAGCTGTGCATTTTCTCATTTTATATGTTCTTCTGTACAAGATTTCTGTTTTGGACTTTCCTAAGAAATATTACATGCTGTAGTGTTGTTCAAGACAGCAATCACATTTAGCAGTCCTGCTAAAGACAGAGATGGTTCATGAACCCATACATTACTCCCAAGAGGGAAACAGCATGATCCAAAGGTTAGAGCACAGGATTGGGACGGAAGAAACCTGAGTTTTATCACAGACTCTGCTTATGACTCATGGTGTAACCATGGACAAGTCACATACCTGCTTCTTGTCTGTTTCTCCATCTGTAAAAGGAGAAATATACACTTTTGTGAAGTTCATCACCATCCTCTGACAAAAGGCAGTATTAAGGGACAGATTTTATTATGACATCTTTATTTTCGTAGCTGTGAAAGTTTACACTCTGACATGCCATGTTATGGGAGAGCCTAATGACATGTCATAATGCAGCACAACAGTGTCATATATGAGTGTCTCAGATCATGGCGAGTAGTGCAGTATAAATACATAGAAATGTGATCAGCCAAAAGATTTGCTGTCTCTGGTAATATATATTTTTAGTATCCGATTAAAATGAAGGATGTCAAAAACACAGTCTGTAGGCTACCTCAGCTATCTTCTGTTTGTATGGATTACTGAGAGTGCCAAGTTCAAATGACCATGGAAATAAACAGAGAATTTAATTATGGTAGATTATATAATGGCTGCAGATGGTGGGGGGGGGGGGGAGCATCTTGTTTTAAAATTGTACAATTACACATCCCTGTCATTTGCCTGTGGTGTTGGATGATGTGATGACAACTGAACATGATTCAGTGTTCAAATATGACAATGAATAGATTAATTTTCTCTGAGGGAAAAAAATACCAGATTTAGTGTGAATCAAATCCAATTAAAAGGGGCATATTTGTTTCATATTCTGTGGGGGAAAGCGATGTTTTTTCATATATACACAAGTATAGGTAAATATATTCTACTTTTAAGCCGAATAAACAACACACATGTGTATATATCATTAGTTAGTAGTAGTAGTAAATACATTTACTGTGGTACTACCTAGTGGCAAATGCCATGAGAAACACATTGTGTTAGGTGCTGTAGAAATACTTAAAATATTTATTAACTAGTTTTGATAAAATAAGAACCCTTCCAAATATTTTGTCCATTTTTAGTATCAAATTCCAAAAATCCTTCTAATGAGGTTTGGAAATGTTGGCTAACTGGTTTTCCACTTCCAGTTTCTGTCCAGGAAAGGCAACAGAACTGCTCAAATACCGGCAAGAAAGGCTGTTCTTTTCCTAGGGCAGTGTTTCCCAAACTTGGGACGCCGCTTGTTCAGGGAAAGCCCCTGGCTGGCAGGCCCAGTTTGTTTACCTGCTGCGTCCGCAGGTTCAGCCGATTGCGGCTCCCACTGGCTGTGGTTCGCCACTGCCAACAGGGGCTGCGGGAAGCGGTGGCCAGTACGTCCCTTGGCCCGCACCGCTTCCCGCAGCCCCCATTGGCAGCGGGGGACCGCAGCCAGTGGGAGCCACGATAGGCCAAACCTGTGGACGCGGTAGGTAAACATACCAGCCCGGCCTGCCAGGAGCTTTCCCTTAACAAGCGGAGTCCCAAGTTTGGGAAACACTGTCATAGGGAATTGCCAGCTATGATCTGAAATGAAAATGCCACAAATCTGATCAGGAAAACATGTTTTCATAAAATTTCCAGGTCAGTTTTCCAGTCTCCAGAAACTTCAAAACCAGTAGTAACTTGACTACTACAGAAAGAGGCAGGAGGGGGAACAGGAAGATGCTTGGAAACAAAGAGAGGGACTGAGATCAGGAAGAGGAACTGGGCACTATCTTTATGCAATGCAAAACTCTTTAAGATAAGTTATTTTTTCATAATAAATGAGAACTATGAGCAAAAATCCATAACAGTCACTGGAAAGACTACCATTGACTTAAGTTTGAACATTTGAACATTCAAAAGAGAGGACACTCCATGGGGGGGGGATTTGCTCACGCCCCCCACCCCCAGTCCTGCCCCACCTCCACGCCTTCCCCACCCCCATTCCAACCCCTTCCCCCAATGTCCCCACCCCAACTCCACTCCCTCCCTGTCCCATTGGACCCCTTCCCCAAATCCCCACCCTGGCCCCACCTCCTCCTCTAAGTGCACCGCGTTCCCCCTCCTCTCCCCTTCCTCCTAGCTGTGCGAAACAGCTGTTTCGCGGTGCAAGCGCTGGGAGCTAGGGGAAAAAGCGGGCACTCTCTCAAGTGATCAACTTTCACTTTCTTTCTAGAATGATCAACATTCACTCTCTTTCTTGAAAGATCAACTCTTATTTGGGGAAAAATAATAATGGCAAAATCCCGGACGTTTTTAGATATTTAAAAATTCCTCCCGGACGGCGATTTAAAAACCAAAAAGCCAGACATGTCCAGGAAAATACGGACGTACGGTAACCCTACCTAAGTGCACTTTGGATCAAGCCCTGAGGATGTAACTTTTGAAAAAAATGCGTGCATACACCAACACTTTATACTTTGCTGAGTGGCTTTCAAACATTAACAAATCAACACGCAAACCACCCTTGGTGAACTAGGTATCGTAAAAGAAATGTGATCATCACTCCAGCCACCACTCATATAGTACCACCTCAGGAGTAAAAATATGTTTAGAACAGGAAGCGAAGGCTAGCATCCTTTCTCTTTCAAGAAGTGGCAAGAGAAACAAGTGGTCAGGATCCTGATTTTATTTTTCACCCATAGTATGAATTCTATACTTGACAATCTTCTACCTTGCCTTTTGCAGAAGTAAGCATCATATATATTATCAGTTGTTATTTAAAATAATCACTGTCTCAATTTAAGCACTATTGTGTCTTGTTTTTAGCAACCAAGCGCCCATTTCTAGGGAAATGCAAGTGGCATGATGCCACAGTGTTATAAAACAATTCTTGTAGTTTTTAATGGATAATGCTGAGTGTCACCGTGTTGTTTTAACAGCCACTTCACTCTAAGACTCTAACAAGTGCCAAAAATGTGTGCTACTCAACCTTCAAAAAATAAATTAAAATTGCGGTGAATATATGTTCACCATTTAATTAAATGTAATTCCTTGAGGAAGGGGGTAAATTATTAATGAGTCCTAACCTGTGTAGTTGGACTGGATATGTGCAAAAAGAGAAGTTACCAGACAACCAGATGCCTGCTCCCATACTGTCAATTTTATAAACAAGCAAGCACAGAATAAATAATGGCCTAAGCCTGATGTAACATTTATCTCCATTTTATGGAAGCATCTGATGACTTGTGGGTGGCTGATGTACTCTGAGAAGCTAAGAGTTAGAACTGGAATTAAAAGTAGTAGCTGTCAGGTTCCCATTTATTTCTTTTTAAACCTAGCTTTCCTCCCTCTAGTCCATTGGTTTTCAACCTTTTTTCATTTGCGGGCCCATAAAAAATTTCAAATGGAAGTGCGGACCCCTTTGGAAATCTTAGAAAATAGTTTGTGGATTC